ACTTTACTTGTTAGGGTGGTTTACTTCATTTCAGGGCTCTGCCTTATCTGAGAGGAAGGGGATAGAACTGCTAGCGCCAAGCCACAGTGGTGCTCCCCAGTGTGGGCAAGTGCCCATCTAACCCACACTGTGGAGCACCAGTGGGACAACATCATTGTCTGACCACAGTGCCCATCAGACCTTGTCCATCATCCCCATGCAGGGGACCTGGCAGCGATGCCAGCGCAGTGACCCAGCCATGCTGTCCCCTATGCTAGTGAGGGGCCAGAGACTGTACCCCTGGCTCATGCCCAGAGCCTGTACTCCCCTTCGGTGCCTTCTTCCTCTGTCTTGGATCCTACTCACTATGCATGGGATGATGTGCATGGGTGGATCTGGCCTTTAAATCCCAAATCACTGAACATACCTGCATGCCTCCTTTATAACACCAAGCTCTTCACTAACAGCCTCTTTCCTCCCCTTCAAAGAGGGAAATGCAGAGTAACTCCCTGTTGAGGCAGCACTCAGCGTCTTGCAGAAGCAACACTCAGCAGAGATGAACATTGGAGGCTGAGCAATGTGTGTGGAAGGCAGGGGGGCATGTCTACCCTCCATCCTGTTGCTCTTTTTCTTCCCTCCTCACAAAGGTAACAGTTGCTGGGGAAGGTCTTCCCAGAGGCCAGAAGATAGTTCAAGATGTACCTTCCCACTGTCCCAATTTTCCATACAACCTTTGTCCATTCCCTGTCTGTGAGAGGATTGCTCTCCAAGTGCAATATCATCATCTTTACTTAGGATGGTGGTATTGTACCAGCATCCTAAGAGGTCTGAGAGTGAGCTCCGAGGGAGGGCTCAGGTTTGTCCATAGTGGATGGGAAGCAACACCAGGGTATGGCGGGCAGCACATCTGGCCCCAGGGCTGAGTATGTCCTATACAGGACAAGTGGCTGAATACCCCAAGCAGGCCTGTGGGGTGGTGGAGGCAGACACCCGACCATGTCGGAGAGGGAAGGGGAGGAAAAGTCCAGTCTTTCCCCACAGCTGCCCAACGGTGGGTCAGAGGAGCACAAGCACTGTGATTTCTCACCAGGCTTCCCCAGGCTCATCCCAGGACCTCTAAAAGAAATTTACATCTCTGGTTTAGTTCAGCTGAGTTAAACAAATATGATTAAAAATTCTTGTTAAATGTCAGGCTGATTTGTAGGAACTGAGATTAGCTGGCCACATGGCAACTTAGTGGGAAATCAACAGGTGACCTGACATTTGAGTGTCAGTCATTTGATAGCATATCCTTATGAGCAGTAGGGCAGGAAGGAGAGAAACCAACCTCACCCACACAGAAGAGCAGTAGTTTAACTCACTAAAAAACATGCTTCTAGCGCAGGATAAGGTGATCAGTGCCAGATGAATTTTATAGTGCAAGCTCTGTGTCCACTGGGAATAGACTGTATCAAAATAAACATGTGCAACCTTTCTTCTGGAGAGTCCCTGGAGCGAGCTGGCACTCTGCCTGAATTACTTCTTTCCTGAGCAACTGCTCATTGTATGAATGAAGGGGGGGAGCAGTGTTTGAGCTATAATTCTCCATCTGATAACTAAGCCAGAGGTACCCTGTTAACAGTTTTAGCCAGTCTTTTGTTTCCAAAATGCCACTTTTCCCCACTTGTGGATATGCATCTTTCTGTGTATCATCTGTCTATGAGTACCACCCTGATGGGAGTACATGAGCTTTCTCCTCCTTATTCCAGGTGGTTCCCATCTTTTTGAGTGATAGTCTTCACTCCTGGTTGATAACGATGATATTAATGAACCTCCAAATGTAACAGTCACTGCTAAATACTCCATTGGCCAGAGTTATGTCATGCAATATTGTTACCCATAAGTTTCCAAATTCTCTTTGTCACCATGAAAGGACTGTTCAAATTTTGAGAAACCCTTGTGCCACTTTTTTTATGTCACCTCTTTGCTGGGGAACCGTGGCATAGAGCCATGGCATTTACTGTCTCCATCATTGCAACGAGCCAGAATTGCCTCCTAAATCAGGCACTGATGGAGATGAGAGCATAGATTTCCAGTTTGCTATTTGGGACCCTCCCAGCTGAGGGACTGGGAGGATAACGTAAAGCAAGCAGTTTGCACTAAGCACATATCTAAGCTCCATGCCATGGGTTTCTCCTCCAGGTGTAAGCCAGCACCTGGTGTGGCTCAGGTGAGGGATGGCAGTACCAGTTCGCAACAGTTGTATACTCTGCCTTATCTATTTTATTGGGGACAGTTTTAATTTCATATTGTACATATGTACTGGCAAATGCTGTTAGCAATGCTTACGATGCTCTGGAGATTTTGCTGTGTGAGCAAACAGAAGCAAAATGACAATTAGATATTGTCTAACACTAGCAACAGCACAGCAGGTCCAGAATTTCATGTCAGTCAGTGAGAAACCTTGTTTACTGGAAGCTGGCCATGAATTGCTTTACAGATCTAGCCAAATCCTTGGCAGAACAGACCAGTTAGACCTGTTGCTCTTTCGTAAGGGGTAGAGGCTTCCTGGCAATGTAATTCCTTGGTGGTTTATAGGGTACAGCTTCAGGAAGCTCCTTTCCATTAGGTACATTGTGTCTCTCCAAAACATCCACGGCGGAGCAGCAGTGATGCTGACTGTCCCATCCACCCCCATCCTTCCTCAGAGCTCTTGTCCCCGTATTCCTGCTTTCTACTGGGAATCTGTTACAACTAGAGGAGGCCTTGGTGCAGTAGAAGACGACCTTCAGGGATTCAGAAAAAGTGACTTCTTCTGCTGACACTGCCCTATTTTGCTTGTCATACCCTAGATTCAACAAGGGTGCATGCAACAGAGCATTTTGAGCAAAGGTCTAGCAAAGAAAGCGAGCAAAATCCTAAATGCTAACCCTTGACACATTGCCGATGCCTTCTTTATTCTTGAATAACATAGGTGAACATTTTGGTTGCAATAAGTGAGCAAATAACAACAAAAACCACTGAATTTTGTCACTACATTTCGGCCTGAATTATTTGAAAACACACTTGGTGGGCCAGCAGTCTGATTCTGGGACTAGGCAAATACGTAAAGGAATTGTAAAACACTGATAAATAAAATTTAACTGGGTCTATAAATTTTCCTAGTCTAAAATTATGATATGGCTGACTTGGCTGTTTTGCAAGGCCAAATAAATGTCTGAAAAAACATCTAACAACTGCATGGTATTATTTGTTATTTTGCTCTGTATAATAGAATTCAGCAACTTAAGTTTGCCAGTTATTACTAAAAAAGCCAGTCCCTCGGCCTTCATATTTCCTATTTATACTCCTCCATCAATGAGCTGAATGCCATGAAGTAGTAGTTTTACCCTTCAATCAGTGACCCATGGCTTTAATTCCTCATTGCTCTTATATTTGGTAAAAAATTACAGGGTATTTTCATGTTCTTAGCTAACTGTTGAGCAATGAGCAGGTGGAATATTGCTGTGGAAGAACTAGTAGCAGAAGGAGGGAATTTATCCACTGTTCTTACTATCAATAAGTTTTCACTCCTGTTTTTTCATAAAATATTCTTTAAACAGACAAATTTATGTGTGACTCATGTGGAAAATACCATGGACTTAAATAATGCCTAGCAATTAACTTCCCTCCTCCCCCAATTTTATTCATGTCTTGCATGTCGAGGACTCATTAAATGAGAAACATTGATTTTTGAAAACGAACGTTAACATGCCTGTCATTAAACCGCTGCTTTGAAAATGACGCTTTGACAATATCCAGGGTTTGTAGCGGCATTGTGCTGCCAGTTTGGAAAATATTTGTGTGGGGTGCAGCAGCACAAGGCTTTTGTGCCTGACATGGGCGCGAGGTGCCATGAGAGGCTGCAGCAGCACAGGGCGTCCTCCTTGGGCTGAAGCGGTTACAGCTTAAGCATCGCTTTCTCATAAGGCCATGGAGCAAAGGAGGGTGGGCAGTGAGCTAGCGACAAGTGTTTCTGAGAATCTCAGCCTTCAGCTGAGCTACTCTTATATTTTTCCCTTCACCTTGCCTAGACAAATTTACTTAATTTTCCCAATTTACCCCCTTTTACTCTGTGGCTTTATGGACACATCTTGTGCTCAGAGTACTTTCACCATACAGCTCAAACTGTCAGAGCAATTGGACTATAAACCTGATGGCACGTCACAACATTTTGGTGAAGAATAGCAGAGTGATGGGGATGGCGCGGTCCCCACGCTCCATGCCGGCACTATTCACCATACAGCTCAAACTGTCAGAGCAACTGGACTATAAACCCGATGGCACGTCACAATATTTTGGTGAAGAATAGCGAAGAGTGATGGGGATGGTGCGGTCCCCACGCTCAGTGCCGGCACTGCCAGGCAGGCAGTCTGTCTGGGCTATGGGAGGGGTTTTTCACAGTGTGGCTTAGGCAGTGGGATTCATGAGGACACTTTGAATTTGTGGTGTAATAATTCAGTAGAGTCACTACCATCTCTTTTGTCTTCGGGTCAGGGTCCATAAGGACGACAAAAAACCTCCCAGTAGGAAGCTCCACCTGACAAGTCAGAGGCATAGGTGATGCCGGCTCTTGCACTGGGGATGGTTTTTGGGGGAACATGAGGGCACTGAAAATGCCTTTTCAACTTGGGCAGACCTCAGGCTTCATCCAGCCTGCAAGTTTGCAGAGAGTAACCTCAACACAAAAAAATCCCCCAAGAAGTGGCTGATTTTGTACTGTGCTGGTGCACCATGTTGTGCCTGGGAGCCTTGATCCCTGGCTGGAGGCTCTGAGGCTAGTGTGATGCTCAGGAATAGCATTATCCACAGTGGATGTTTCCTAAAATCAAGGACTGTGGCATAAAGCACTGCTGACACATTTATCTGACCTGGTTATCATCACTCTGTTATTAAAATGAAATAGAGTGACTCTGAGATTAACCTGCAAGTAGAGCTAACAAAGCGACAGTTCATAATGATTCTTGCATTCCTTCAACAGAAAAAACTGCTTAGACAATCTAATGGATGAAGATGAGAAAGACAGGGCAAAGAGGTGAGCACTTTTTCTTTTATAACTCTCTGTTTAACTTGTGATGAGCTTGATACTGTTTGTTGCCGCAGAAGCTGTTTTATCCATAATCAATTAATCAGAGAGAGAGTAAAATACAGCCAAGCACAACTTGAAAAACTGCCATCTCACAGATTCCTGTTCTTGGCTACCCTGTAAGAAGAAAATAACATAGCAATGCTTCCTGTGGAAAATGTCAAAAAAGCCAAAGCATTGATCGTTTTCTTCACATTACTGCAGAACACAAGAACTGAAGAACCAACAATGTAGTCCTGCTGCTATAATACATCATCTGAGCTTCTCGAGTGCATAAAGATGTTAGTTTTTTATAAAACACATTTTGCAAAAGAAAAAGAACTGGAAAAGTGAGGTTTTTTCCCTATTATGATGGTCATTTATTCAGCAAAGCCTGTCTGTCTCAAAGTAATGAAAACACCCAGAAGTTACCTTCAGAGCAGAGAAAGACCACAAAAAGTGCTGTGTCAGCCCTAAACCGGCACAAACCTTTACTCCCATACATTCTGCACTCCATCATCAAGTCCCGGTTGGCGGGAATTTGTTGTGAACACTTTGTGGGGAGGGAAAGGGTGTGTTTTAAGGCAGAAGACCTGTGGCAATAAAACTCTTAATAACCGTCAGATCTGACTGGCATCTGCAGAAAAGCTGTTTGGAAGCATTTGAGGGGTTTTTTTCTGGATGTGTTATCAATAACACAGCCTACAGTTTAATTGCTTTAGAGGGAGCCGTGGGTTGCCCGCATTTTCCCCCTTGGTTCCCTCTAACGAGAGTATTTCCAGTCCAGGCACAACTAGTTGATCCAGTTTCATCTCTTCTGATTCCTTCTCCACTTCTTTCCTCCCCGCAGCTTTTTCTCACCAATATAGGTCAGCACAGGCTGCAACCGAGCTCAACATTTCCCCTTTGCTCTCTCCCCTTACCATATGCACGCTCAGGCTGCAGAAGGCCTGCCTTTGCTACCGGGACCAAAGTGCTGACCTAACTGCCCCCCCTTAGGCCTGTGAGGGGTGATCCCCTGAGGCCAGGGGCCCGCCAGCCCCCAGAGCCAGGCCGCTGCTGCTGCTTCTCTTCATGGAGGGCTTCATGCCCAGGAGAAGGCCGACGTGGGGTACGGCTCTGCGTGCGGCTCTGCCCAACCGTCGGCAGGCACCTGGGGCCAGGGGAGGAGGTGGATTTGGGGAAGGGATGCCTCCCACCGCCATGTCACATCGCAAAGAGACGGCTCTTCGGAGAGGGTGCAGTGTGGCGGGAGGTGTCCCGCTTCCTCAGAGCCCCAGGAACAGGGCAGGCGGGGAGCAGGGGAAGGGAGCCCACATTGCATCGCCGCTTCACAGGCTTGAGGCCTGATTATCTTCAAGATATTTGTGCGCTAATTGTTTAAAAAAAAAAAAAGCCACATTAAATGAATGCATATAGGACAAAAATAGGATAACACGTATCCTCGCTATCAGCGATTGTCATCACCATCTGGTATGGTTTTCATGCTGTTTGTTCCTGGAGGGAATTTTTGTCATATCCTGGGGCAGGCCTCTATCCAAGTGGATAAAAAAATTATAACTTTGAAAATGAAAAAAGGAAATAGCTTCTTTAAATTGTAATTTAAGTCCATTTTGCTTTTTAGAAATAAATTTAAATTTGAATTTAAGTTTGAAATAAAGAGAGGCTTCATGAAAGTCTGAAGTTGCTACAGTATAGTAAAACCACTCAGATTCATTTTAAAGCTACAGGATTTCTTCCAAAACTTTAAAGAGAGTCAAACTTGGGAGAAGCCATTAGCTGAACATTTTGCTGTTGTGTCTTGAAAACTGAGGACTCTCATCTGTCCCGTGCTGCAAGGGAAACGCTTTCTTTGGTTTTTTTTTTCTATTCGGTAAAAGGACCGGGTCCCTCAGTGCTGAGAAATGTGAGACGGGATAAAAAAGCCAAGAAAAATTGTTCCCTTCTTTCATTTTTTGAGTTAAAAGTAGGTGAGATGGGAAATTTCTGAATCTAACTCTTTAGGGATGGACCCAAGCCAGGAGCTGGGTTTCTCAGGTTAGACACACACACACACCCCATTTACTATCTGCTGCAATTTATTAGGCACATACAGGTTGTATTATATGGACATGAGAAGAGGATCCATCCTCTCCCAAGGAGAGGCACCTGCGCTCCCACCCCTGCACCGAGGGTTTAGTATTTGGCCAAGATGTATAGCTTTTCCTTCAGCACACTGGTTATTTTGAACCCCATTCTGCATCCTCTGACTGCCTAAAGGCACTAGTTCACTCCAAAGACCTGAGGACTACAGTATGGATATGGTGGCAACCACACTTGGGGGCATCGAAGACCTCTTTGAGGTCTTCTGATCATCTGGAGATCAGAAACCATAATTTTTTTTTCAGTTCTTTGATGCTAGATGAGGCTTACTTTGTTTTATAGACTTATTCCTTTTAAACAAAAAGCATGCTTTGTGCACTTTTTTCTCTATCAGCTTTTCTTTCAGCTTGCTTTAATAGTAAATTATTTTAAAATAATTTTTTTTGCAACTCAATTGAAATACAAATTGCAGAGAAAACCAGCTTGAAGTAAACCATAAGTAAGTGCTTAATAAATAAGGACTATCACCTGCTATTTTCCACTCCAATAAAAAGTAAATTTAAGAAGCTGAACAAAGATATGTGGTATGGTTTCTTGCTTTGATGCATATACAGTATATCCCACTGAACAGCAAAAAGAAATATGAAATTTAGTGTAAAGCCACATTTCATTGTAAATCAGCGAGATGTAATGGCTACTACTCAGCAAGTATCAGTCTCTTTTTTAAGACAATAAGCAGCAAATATATAAGAGAAGGAAAATGGCTATTTAGAATACATTTTAAATGGGTGATTTTGATCATTCTGAATTCAAGCTGTCCTGCATTGCCTTTAGTTGTATTCACTAAAAATCCAGATTTTATTCATACTGTGTCTCTCTCTTCCCCTTGGATATGCTGTATTTTTTTTGAGTAGCAAAGAGGGAGGAGAACTGGGACGAATAGCATGGAATTAAGGCAGAGACTGTTTTGGCTTACTGTAAATGATATGCCCTAGCAATGAAGTAAGCAAGGCTAGGGAATAATCTTCCAAGGGAAGTGATGAAAACTGCATTATTTAAGACATTTACAACTGGACTGAACAAAGCATTTACAACTGTGCAGGGATAGTTTAGATGACCTAATTGTGGTTTTCTTCCTCATTTTTTTCCTTTTTAAGATTTTACTGTGATCATCGATTCAGATCTTGGTAGAGTTATTTCCACTAGAGGAGTTTTTATATTTCCTTTGTCAATAAAATGTCAAGTGTTAAAAATAGATTCTTTATATTTCTGTCACGGCATCTTTATTTTTTTGGAAAAAGCAACACTTTCCCTATAGACGATTGGTGTTTTATTTTATTTTCAGGGTGATCAAGACCCTTTGAGCTTAAAATGAACCGAGGATTGAATTATGAGGAAGTAAAATGTTGATGTTCTGAACGTCCCCTTGAACTGTACAGAAATAGGATAAGGCTGGAGCTTTTCACATCTTGTTCTGACAGCCTTTTGCAGTGTAATAAGAACAGGCTGAAATCAGTCAGGCAGTATCCACCCAATCTCTTGTGTTCAAAGCTGTAAAATAATCAAGTGTTGGCTTCTATCCAGTGTCTCTCCAAGTGTGTTCAGGGTTGAGAGCAAGACAAACAAAAATTACCCCTCTGTCAGTAGTAACATCCAGAAGCCTCTGCAGTGATTTCTCTGCTGAAAATGTTTATTGCCATCCCGGTCCTTGGGGGGATGTAGATGCTGGGCTAAATTTTGCTCTGATTTTCAGCACTGTGCATCCAGAGCTGCTTATGAGGTACAGCAGAGTTAGTTGGGACTGAGAAACTCAGAGTGCAAACCAGCCTCTTGGCTTTTCTTTTCTGTCTACATGTAACCAGATTTTTAGATCTTTACGTAATTAGCAAGGCAAATCTTGTCTGCTTGAGGACCTTTCAGAACAAACAAACCTTCTGGGTTATATTTATTTCTGTTTTCTCATGGCTACAGAAATCTGGGCAATACCCTCCAAGTAGGATGACTGTTGTATTCATGAGAACAAATCAGAAAACACTTGCTTGTGTATAGGTTGACATATAATTTTAAAGAAAATAAAGTGCACATGCTGAAAAGATTATCAACAGCCTTAATGACAGTATTATGATGGTACCAAAACACCTCAAATGAAATCAGGTCCTTTCTTCCTCCGAGCTGTTCAAACACAGCAGCAGAAACAGGCTCTCTCTGAGGAGTCTGCAAGCTAAACAGATGAGACTGGTGAAGAAAGCTGCAGCATCCCTGTTTTACACATAAAGAAGAGTCGGGGCCCCATGACCTTCAGCGATTTGCCCAGTGGCACACAGAGGTTAGGGGCAAGCAGGGCAACCCTTTAGCAGTTCTGAGCCCCCAGGTCTGGGAACACATCCCAGCCTCAGACCCGGTCCGTGCTGGGATGAGACATGCTGATGCCCTACCTCCTACTTTCCCTTGTCACCTTGGGAAGAAGACTGAACTACATGGCATACGAACTGGATGGGAGCTGCAGCAACCTCTACTGAGGTGCCTGATCCGAGTGACCGGACGACAACAGCCCAATTCCTCTCTGTAAGCCAGCCTGGAGGTAGCCAGAGGACCAGTGACCAAAGCGGGCAGGTCCCTCTAGGTGGACCCAGCTCCAATGCAATGGCTGAGCTGCAGAACTGGGTCCCTCTCTCCTGTTAAGACTGCACAGATGGGTATGACCCACAGTTTTACCAGTCCCCACTCTTCTTCTTTATGGACAATTTTACTGTTGTGACAGTATTTCTTCTTGCTCTGAGTGCCTCCTCAGAGGCTGTGTGAACTTTCAAGATCCTACACATACCTAGGAGATGGGCAGAGCTCCTTCACCTAAAGGCTTAATGCCAGCCTGATAGGCTTGACCAGAGCATCCAGAGGCATCACAGAGGGGCGAGCAGAGCCTCCATCTTCTCACCAGACTCGAAATGGGGCTCAAAGACAAGAGCAGGAGGTAGGAACAGTCACCTCCTACTTGTCTCTGCAGCTTTGCTGGAGGCCAGTGTCAATCTTCACATGCTGAGGCACACAGCAAGCTAATTTCTATGCGTGTACAACGCAAAGAGCAGGTACATGATGATTTTTCCTCTTGGTCTGCTCATCTTTTTTTTTTTCCCCTGTCTACAGGGCTTCACGTAACAAGTCTGAGAAGAAGAGGCGCGATCAGTTCAATGTTCTCATCAAAGAGCTCAGCTCCATGCTCCCAGGCAACACTCGCAAAATGGACAAAACTACTGTGCTGGAAAAAGTCATTGGCTTTCTGCAGAAACACAATGGTAAGATTTACTGCAGCTCTTCATGCACTTGCCAGACGGTTACTACAATATCCTGTTTCCTTCAGTGATTATCAGAATGGCTCAAGGGGCCTAAAAGTGCCAACATAAGGTATTTTTTTCCTATCTCATCAAAAAAGATCATTTGCAGGCACTGTGCTGCCCAAATGCATCTCCTCAGCTGCTTTTTAGTTGAGCATGACTCTCAACCTGCTAGAGAAGGAGGCGAATGGCAGGAACCAAGGGAAGGAGGGCAGCAGTGCCCTGCAGCACACGTGAAGAAGAGAGATTTGGGGCCAGAGGAAAGATTCCCTTCCTTGAAATTTGCAGTATTCTGAGCAGAACAAAGCATTCGCCCTAGCTTCTCTGCAGAAAAATGCAGGGAAGTGATCTTTTCAGCCCCCCTTCTCCTCAGCAGACTGTGTAGGACTCAATTTTCCACAACGAGCAGAAAACTCAGACCAGAAAAGGCCCCAATTTTTGAAGTCGGCTTCAGCAAATTGCATCCACAGATAGCTGATGTGCTTCACCCAGTTTACACAACAGAAGCTACGTCACATTTGCAGAGCGTGCAGTTGCAATAGTAAAGTTCAGCCTTGGGAAGCGAGGAGTTTATTTTTTATAATGCACGCAGCAGTGACAGTTAAATCCCTTAGAAATGTACCCTCACAGAGGGCAGAGGAGATTTCTGACGCTGGTTGGTCTAGTTGCTAGTTAGTGAGAGGAACATGCACTGTGGGCTCCCTGACGCATGGACATCCACCAGCAGCAGACAACTGAAACGCTTCTCCCTTGTAAATCAGGTCACTGGTTTAAAATGGGGCTCTCTTGCTCTGCCTCTGTGAGGAAGAGGCTTCAGTGGGTGACCACGGGGAACGTCCCTGGTCCCACAAAGCAGAAAGGGGTCTCATGAGCTGATGCACCACATCACCTGGCTCTCCTTTGCTCATCTAGTACCTCCCATCTGCACTCCCTGGAAAGCACTGGGTGAAACGGAAAACACCATAAAGCCTCTTCTGTCATGACTCCAAACACAATGGAGTCACAAACGGCAAACTTATTGAGGAAATTATTATAGCGGTTCTGTTGTTAGAGCGCAGTTTCTCCTTAAATGAATTTTTGCCACAGACAAGATGATTTCATACAGGAGGGCATTACTAGGACATCTCAAAGCTTAATAATTGTATATACCTATTAAAAAATGACAGTAATAACATACCTTTTTTTTTCTTTTTTGGCTGCCCAAGGCAGAGTAAAGGAAAATGTGAATATGCTCAGTTATAAAGCCAAGCAAGGAACAATCACACGAGATTTGAGTAAGTGTAGATAAGTGTAGCCAATAGCCCAAATAATTTACTCCAAAAAGGCACTTCATTTCTGGAAGAACAACTAGGTAAAGGAAAACTAACAGTCACAAAATCTTCCGCAGCAATTGGGTCAAACTGTGACTGGGTTTTGTGCACTTGTTAAAAAAAGCAAATGTTATCTATTTTTAAACTAGATTAGCAGTCACACAATATAATACAAAGCATCACTGTTTAAAAATGTTGATTATCTTCAGCATACTTTGGATCTGGTTTATTCAATCGTATTTCCCTTCCATTTAGTAGGCTAAACCGAGATTTTAGTCATAGTGGAGAAGGAGGTCAATTTTCAGATTTTTTTCTTCATAAACAGCCTCCTTCTTTATAATCCACAGAATCTCCCAAATCTCAAGTAATTCTTCTAACAGTCACTGTTTCATGTACATCAGCTTTTCCCAGCTATGGATCTGCTGAAAGTATCCTATATTCTGAAATTATATAATAAAAATTTAATGGGCTGATCTCTCTTTTTCCTTAGTCTGGTTTTGAAACCTCCATATAAGACCATGAGGTCTGTGGAGAGCCGCCGTGCTATCCGTGACAGCCCCCAGCAGCACAGAAAGCACGTCAAACGAGCTGGTAGAAGCAGACGGCTGCATCTCCACTAATAAAGCCTGAACGGAGGCTTTGGTTTCTTTCTAGGTGACAATATGCACAGGCACTGATATAAATTTCCTGTCTTTAATATCATTTAGCCATTTGTATTTCTCTGGCCAGTTTGCCTATGTGCTCTGAATAGGGACCGTTGGGTATTACATGCTCTGGAAGTGTTAATCAATAGGATTAATTAGCAGGTGGCACCGAGAGGAGAAGACAGGCTGCGCTCAGCATCCCCTCACTACTAGAGCTAAATGAGGGAGCACTCTTACACAAGCAGAGCGAGTAGCAAAAAAACCCAGCTCAAGTCTCTCTAAAGTATAAGATCTGTCCCCCATAACCCTATCTGACTCAGGCAGAACTAACATGAGTGGCTGTTTTTTTGAAGGAAATGGCTCACCACGGTGCATCCAGCTACCCCCAGTATGGTCCCCAGTTTCAGTGCGAAGCTGTGACTTGTTACCCCCATGTGCTTGCACCCCTCCATGGAAAGCCCACGGGGAGTGAGCATCCTCAGGCTGCTGCAGGGCCAGGACTGGCCAACAGCAGGGCAAACACCCCCTGGGATCTCAGGCGCTGACCCTCCCCTCCGGACAGGATTTGGGATGAGACATTGGTGCTCCGTTCCCTCTCCTGGGCTGCCCTGCACCGTGGGGCTGGCGGTAGCCACAGGAGAGAGTGTAAGGCTGCTGCAAACACTCATTTTGGAGAATGGAGCAATAGCTCTGCTGTTTGGGGTCACGGCCCTTTGGGGCTCTCTGAAGGAGTTTTCTTGCTGCTCCCTATTTGGCACAGAAACTGTAAGCTTAACCCTAGTTCTCTGGCATCCTAATTTTGAAACTGTAAATTGTAAATGGCAGTTTGACACATGCTAATCCTTGCCTTGATTTTAATTACATGCAAAGTGGTTTTATCTTTTGATCAATACCCAAGTAATGCTGCTTCAGGCTGATGGCTATGTGAATACAGGCTCCCACTGAAGTCAGTCCAAGCTGAGCTGAGTTAAAAAATGAGGAAGACATTTCAGGATCTAGCCCAGTTTAGATAGTTGTTACTGTCTCTGTATGCAAAACTAACACTTGAAAACTGCAATTTTTGAATATAAGGATGATTTCTATCTTTTCATAGCAACTCATATGTAGTCTTGCAAGATACATGTTTCTTTGAATTTAAAAAATTGAAATGTTTTATTTGTCTAGAAGTCTCAGCACAGACGGAGATTTCTGAAATTCAGCAGGACTGGAAGCCTTCGTTTCTCAGCAACGAAGAATTCACCCAGCTGATGTTGGAGGTGAACATGCATATATACTTTTCCTAATTTTGTCTAGCAGTCATGGAAATGCCCATGCGTCTAGAATAAAATGTCATCTGCAGTTCCAAAAGAGGAGGTTTCAGGTACTGCTGTATTTGACCGTCAAGCAGAGCTGTCACTGGGACAAGGGATTAGAGCCCCCACATGCTGCTTTGCACTCTCGACGGTGCCGTTGCATCGTGCTGCCGCAGCCTGCAAAGCTGCACAGGGACTCCCAAGAAATGCAATCCAGGGAAAGATTCAAATCACAGGTTACATTTTATTTTTACAAACAGAGGTGAGGAAAAGGGCACGTGGCAGCTTTTCTCCTGTTCTTGGAAGGCATTATTATTACCTAATATTTATGCAAGACTAGGACCTAAAAAGCAAGTGTCGCGTCCCTGTAGTGCTAGGTGCTGTACAAGCAGATAAAACCTGACAGCTCCTCTTGGTTTGATACAGTTAATACTTCCACTCTAATGATTTTCAAGGCCCTTATCAAACAATTTTATTCTAACAGGGAGCAGGGTTATTTTGCAATGATAGTTTTTAAATTACCTTTAAATTATACCATAGGTGCTTTTAATGCTAGCTGGGATTTCAAGGGAGGTGACTCAATGGTGTTTATGTAGGTTCAAGATGAAATGCAAATGAGCTGCTAAAATGTATTTTTCTCTGTCAGTAACAGCTAGAACCTTCTTTAGCAAGGATCTTCTCCCATACTAAACACGTGGAGGTTGCATGGCCTCGCAGTGTCCTTTGAGAACAAGCTTCTCCTCCTCCCACAAATGATGTGAACGTGAGGCATGATCCAGGCTCTGGAGGCGGGCAGGGAGAGATACTGGGGAGCAGCTTGACTCACCAAGGGGTGGCACAAAGCTGGGGCACATTGCTGGCCCCCAGGGGCTGGTGGTCCCTCGGCCACTGAAGTTTGTTGTGGTGAGAATCCCCTGGTCTAGTTTTATGAGACATTTTGCTCCCATTGCACTGACAATCGCCCATTCCCATCTCACTGTGCAGGAACTTAACATACATAACTCCTTCAGTCTGCACTGAAATATTTCCCTCAGATAGCAATAAATTGGCAGTTGTCTTGACTGGTTGGACCTTTGTTGATTCTGCTTGTGTGCCACACAATTTTAGATTAAAACAATTGCTTTTAGTTTCCCAGCTTATAAATCACCTTCTTGCTACTGTGATTTTCCATGCCCTTCAAGATAACATTGGGCATTGGGATGTCCTGTTGAGCCAGCTGTTCATCATTCTACGCTTTTTTTGCCTTTCTACTAATCTTACTTTATTAACATTTGGACAAGACTGCTTGAAGTTTTTCCCGTCCTGTTATTAAAAGATGGGAAGGGTTTTTTTCCAGCACTGATTCAAAAGAATCAGAGGATAATTGAATGCAGTAATACATCAGCTTTCCTTAAAATGGCCTTTTCTTACCCCATTGAAAGGGTTGTCATCAAATTACATAACAGTAGGCATTAGGCTCTGTTTGTCCATCTAGGACTGTTCCGGTAGTGAAATCTCTGAAGAGGGATATGCTCTCTTAATGTTGGAAGGATTTCTATAAAAATAGAATTATGTATGCATACATTAACTTGATTTTACCACAAAATTCTGATGTGAGTCAGTTTGTATAATTTGCATCGGATATGAAATAGAGACTTGATTTAAAAAAAAACCAACCACCTTCACCATAGTAACATGCACAATCCAGCTGCCTTATAAAACCACTGCTCTCTTCTACGGGTTAACAGCTATCATGCTTTTTTAGAAAACAGCTTGAATGTACTACACTAAAGAAAAACATATTCTCTGCATTTAGATTAATAAAATCAAGCTAACTATAGCAGCTGGAGGGTTTTCAGAGATGCTAAACACACGCTTTTCTACTGGGGTATAAGTTATTGACCTGCTTTTCAAAGGATTGTAGCACCAGCAGATTCCCATTGACTTAAATAGTTGTGGGTGCTCAGCATTCTCTGGAAAAAGGAACATATGTTTGTGTCTTTATTCAAGGCTTTGTGTTTTCCTTTTTTGTTTTTTGGTGGGTTTTTTTTTTTTTGAAAAAACAATTAGCATTTTCCAGTGTTCTCAGAATTCTTTCCCTTATTGAAGTCAGCAGGGGGGAAGGATGTGCTGCGGCTCACAGGATCAACTGCTAGTCTGGCTTGGAGGCATGCCTGGGTTTGCAGTAAGGTTTTGTGATGCCGTGGCACCGGGATCAGGCTGCTTACAGCACACCTGTCTTCGAACAGTTATTGCCTCTGGAGTATAGTTGACCTCTGCTCTGATTTAGTTGTGCTTGCAGTGCCCGTACTGCTCAAATACTGCAGGCAACTCTGACCCCAGATCTCCAGTGAACTGATAGGAAGGACCCAGACCTGCTCCACTTGAAGGCGTTGGGAGCTTCGCCATCAGTGACTCCTTCATTACAATGGGAAGGTTTTAATATAGTCTCGGAGCACCTACTATTGAGTCTTAATTTTTGGGGGGGTTCTGCTCAGAGTAGGTTGCTTTAGATCTGGAATTCTACCTAGATTTAACTTTGAACAACATTTAGCTCAAAACTTTGCAGCTCAGACTAAAGAAGAAATTAATTTTCAAGGTGAAATTGCTCTTGTGCAAAGGATGGAGATAAGGCTGACATTCCCCTTCAGTCCTAGGAGTGAAGGGGCTTACCGCAAGGTGGGACTGAAGTGAGGAAGAAACTCTGCAGAAGGGTGAATTTCTCTTGGAATGAGTAATCTAATACCATGACCTTTAAAATAAATCACTCAATTAAAACTCAGGCTAAGGATTATTTGATCATTTGCATTGCTTTTACTTACATGAAAACCCAGTAATATACAATGTTACATTAATACAAACTGAGATTTATGGGGTTTGCAGAGAAGTACCATTTTGAGATAGGACGGCATCCTTTCATCGTCCTTTGATATTTACACAGAGCTCAAATGTTCATTTTAATAACTTCCAAGGGATCCAGTCTTAGTCATTTTGCATTATTAAAATATGTGATTAATTTAAAAACTGAGACATGAAATGTTCCTGTGAGCCCTTTGTTGCTTCAATAGTAGGTTTTACTAGACTACAAAGAGTGTTGTAAAAGTTAAATCAGACTGTAAAATCAGAGAATTACTGTTCTGCAACTTGAGATAGCGTTCCTACAACTTGATAACAATATGGTGCTGAAGTCAAACTGTTTTGATCAACACGCGATGAGACGCCCTGTTTACACCACTCGATCCTATTAAAGCACTCTCTACTTGTCTTTTTTTCTTAGGCATTAGATGGCTTCATTATAGCGGTAACCACAGGTGGAAGCATCATCTATGTGTCTGACAGCATCACACCTCTTCTAGGGCATTTACCGGTGAGTAATTCTGGCATTGGCTTTTCTACTACACATCATAGGATCAGGCCCTGCATTTTTAAAAACAGATGTAAAAGGGTGGTGGGGAGTGGTGTTTTCCTGAAAATGCAGTGAGGGGTTTTGTCCCTGTGTTACGCTGGCCGCTGCTGTTGATCAGCTCTCTCCTCTTTCCGTCTGATTCAAACCCTTCAGGTTTTTGTTGCTATAAGGCACTTTGGCTTGAATGGATAAAGCTCTGCGGGAATACTCTGGCCAGGGGAGGGACAGGGTGACCTGGCTGATCTTTTCCATCTCTGATTTCTAAGCTAGCAGAGAATAGCACCAGTGCTGCTGGTAGCCCGGCGAGGAGCTTGTTAAGGGCCTTATTCTGCTCCCAGGGAGGTAAAGGACAAAAAACCCCATTGAATTCAGAGTTAGCTGGGGGCTGCTGCTGCTTGGGTCTGATGCCCGGCGCTTGGGTCTTGCTGTGGGAAACATTCCTGCCTTGTGCTGGAGGAGCAGGGGAGAGGGACTGCTCCGAACCCTACTCCTGTTGCTAAGGCTGCTCTAGGAGAAATGGCACAATAATTAAGGATTAATCCTCACACTCATTTTTAGTAGCTTGGTCTCAAATAAATATATGCCCAGGAGAAGAAAACAGCTGCCAAATCATTATCGTACCACCCTCCCTCCATGTTCTCAGGAAAATTACAATTCTTTTTCTCTCGTTTCCTTTTTCACCAAATACATGTTAGGTTTTCCACCCAGTGTGCTTCACACACACTACCTTGTAATATGAACAAAAATTATTTTCTTCTGAGACGAAAGTAACTTGATGAAAGACGGCAGCTCCTGGTAAATGCAAGAATATTGCTATGCAACAACAGATTGAACTGAATCTATCTATTTTCGTTTTCTTTAATCCTCAACAGTTGAGAAAACCAGTAGTTTACTATTTTCTGACATTTGCCTTCACTTCAAAGGCAGAGAGAGCCCTGTCCTGCATGCAGGCTGTTGGGTCTTCATGCACGTACTGATTTCCATGGAATTTCCTTGTCTTCCATGGTTTGGGGATTCCATTACTATCCCTTCCAAATATTGATTCTTAGTGGAGATGGTAGATCTGCTGTGGGAAAGTAGTGCTCTTCAGGAAGACACATTTCAGACCCTGTGCCTAAAACCTTAAGCTCTGGCTCAGCATGGATGGGTTCAGGTTCATAATTCCTGAGTTGGACCATCAGAGACTAAATTGTTTTTCCCTCCCAAAGTCATGCCTTGTGTGATAATCCTGTATGGTATCCAGCCCAAAATGAGGACAAAGATGGGCATTATTTTTCATTTGCACAAAAGCCGCACATAGCAGCCCAAGCCAGGGACCAACTTGCCAGGGCTGGAGGTGGAGCAGTAATTCCCACAGACTTTCTCGGAGCTGATGGAATGATGCTGGTTATCAACTGCCCCACCAGCTCACGCATGTGGAGTGACTGGGTGCATCCCAGAGACTGCAACTGAGCAAGCAGTAAAGGCTACTGCCTGCCCGAGGTTGGCAAATTGCTACGGCCATGGGCAGGAGCCCAGCTGAGTGTGCAGTTAGGTGCACACTGGGCATTTTAGTCCCATGCTGCCTTTCCATTTATCTTTTTAAGTTTTAAAACTGAGCAGAGTGCTATCTGGAAAATCTATGCAGCTTATTTTGTTTACCTCCAGGATCTATTTGTAAGCTAAATTCAGTCACTGTTTGAGAGACAAAATACCAGTTCTTTCTCCTCTGTGACTGCAGGGAAAAAATATTCTACAAATCTTCTGCTCTGAGCACTGAAAGGAAAGCAGAACTTGAGAGAACGTGGAGCAGGGCTCTCTGAAGGCCTCGATCAAGAAATCTGATGTATTTTCTTTCATTAAAATCATGAAAGACTCTGGTGCTGAGAACGAATATATCCAATTGTCTTTAATACAGCTTCCCTAAGTTCCATGGAGCATTTTCAAGCACAATCTTCCTCTGTTGTAATTCTAAATAGTTTGTTTTTACAAGATCTGGAGGCTACTCCCAGAGTCGGTTGATGTAAAGACAGGTTTAGCTCACATGGTAAGATGGACTATAGTTGAACTGAACTCCTGGAAATCTGGTTACAACCCACAGAATTTGCCAATCCGATGGTATGCTATGACCCCAAGACTATGCAGTGTCTGGAGGAGGGTCCTCCCTGTCCCTTCTTGTCTGCTTTGCCAAGTGCAACAGTTAAACACAGGCAGCAGACTGTTTCCAACCTGCAGGAGAAGATACAGCTTTCTCATAAACATTGCCTGTCCCCAGACTTAGGCAGAAAGAGCTGCACCTGCTCATGGACTGGCAGAGTGGTGTCCATCTCACCCAGCTTTTATCCCATAGCCGAGTGGTCCGCGCTGAGCACCTGCCCACATGATGGTCCACGAGGGTTGGCGGGGAGCTGGCTGCGCGAAGGCTGGAGGTCTCTGGGAGGGCTGAGCTTCTCCTGGGGGGGCTTTTTCTCCCCAAGGGTGCCCTGGTGAAGCTCAGGCAGCTGCTCTGCTGTGTTGGGTGCTTAAGTTAAACATCAGGGTGGAAAAATCCAACACGTAGCACCTTATAGTGTACAAAAGTTATGCCTGCTATGTTGCTGTTACAGGGTAGCAATGGGCATCAGTGCAGGCTATACAGGTTGATGTAGGGGCCAAATCTCAGCACACAAGAGCAAAGCTATCTTTATTTTTCGGGTTGATAGGAAAGAAGCCTGTCTCATTTGCAGCCCTCCACCTTCCCATCCCTGTAGTGACTATGTTTGCTCCATTCCCCTGCTTTTTTTTCCTTGCAGTAGGAATAACTCATCATATTTCCTCCTCCCTCCGCCCCAAAGCAATGAAACAGTGAGGAAGGAGCTCCGTTTTGGAGTACAGCTGTTTTGTTGAATCTGCACAGATATTTTAGCTATGCATCAAACAACTGCAGAACTTTGTGTATTGTATTTAGAACAGATCAGCACCCACGTATGCAAAGGTATTGTTTCTTTGCCTGCCATAGCTATCATGGGTAAATATTCAGAAGTTTCTGTCAGCAAGATCCATAGATTCGAAGGTGCTGAGTAGATTCCAAGCTTAGCAGCATAAATATGCATTGATGTAGTTCATCTAACCACTCTACGCACAGTCACTGTAATTTATCTTTTATCCACTTTGCCTGTCTCATTCAGCAATGCTTTGTGGCTCTGTCCACCAGTGGGGCAGAACTGCCCACTGCAGAGTAATTAGAATGATTAGACAAATCTGCAAACCGTTCCCCTCCAACTGATGCATTTTTGTCTGTGATGATCAAATTTTGTCCATCTCTCTGGACACCTTTTTGCCATGGCACCAGATGTCTGCTCGTTGGGTCTGGTGCAGAATTAGCTCTGAATAGCTTGCCTGGCATTTCCTACTGCTCCAGTGAGACCATGGAATATTTGCTTCCTTCTCTCTGTTTGACCTGTCAATATATTCTTGATTGACATATTGATTCAAGAACATTGTTGGAATCTTGATACATACAAGATCCAGAAATTCTGTTCTGTGCACTGCTTTACAGGTGTGCCTAACCTCTGCAGGAGGCAAGAGTTGCAAAACACAGTAAGAAGTAGATATCTTATCATTTTTTTCAACTCATTAAAAAAAAGTTGGTGTTTCCTAACAGCAAAGATGCAAACCAAATTCTGGATATGATGCATGATGGAAGCAAAAAATATAACCTCAGGACTTGCAAATCAATGAATAGGTGGTGCTCAGGGCAGGAGGTCGCTCTCAGAGGTGTGTGGAACAAAAGTTTCTTGCAACTCCAACTGTAGGTGTAGTCGCAGGCCCCCGCAGCTATCACCTTAAACAGAAATGATACTGCAGAACTGATAATAGGTTTTGAATTGGAGCTTGGTCACAACATGGAGACAAAAGGTAGGACATCCTCAGGTCACTGAAGAAGCAATAGTGAGTTTGAGGAGCGGTGACAGCTCACATCTAGTCCTCCTGCAGTTACTGCTGAGTGGATGGGAGGTTAATTAACCTCCGTCAGACTTATGTGAAACTGGTGAATAAGTATCATTATCTATCATTTACAGGTAGAAAGGGAATGAGAAGGAAAAAATGCTTTTCTGAGATTGTACCATAAGCCTTGAACAGGACTCACCACTGCAGTTTCCCGTCAGGTGCTCTTTCTTCATATGCCCAAAATTACATGAACAATGTACTATATTTTGTGTAAAGATAAATATAAATATAATGTGTGTATATAGAGATGTGTGTGTATATAAAATAAATATATACATGATATAAATATAATGTATGTATATACATGTATTTATACATATATGTATAAAAACTTAATCATACTGTATCAGTAGGATGAATATTAATAAGATGATACACACTAAAGTCACAAAAATAATTTTCAAGTATTCTTCACAAAAGGAATATTCAAGTAACGAGCACGTGTAATAAATACTTATAAGTGAATAATCTGAAGTGATATATTATCACATCAAGACAAGTGTATAAAGTGTAGCACTCTGATTTTCAAAGTATACTCGATGCATTTCACTACTTTAAACAGGAATTCCACACAGAACAGCAGGCATGGGTAGAAAGCAGAGGGAAACCAAAGTGCAATCTTACGTAAATACATAAATAAATGATGATGATTAATAACTTGCCAGTCGCATACAGGGCTAACACATTTTCAACATGACTATACAGTCTGATAGCAGCTGCTCTGACGACACACGAAGCTGTGTCAGTGTGCCAGCTCAGCCCGAGGTAGTCTCAAGTGGGATGGATGTAAGTCAATGCCATTAGAGGGTCACTTTATCTCAGGACTTCCTTTCAGATATGCTTTTCTAGCGTTAGGTTAGTCACCATGCTGAACACAGTGAGACCTTCCTCTTCGCAACCCTGTGACAGACTGTCTTCTCCACCCTGGGCCACTCATGGCCTTTTGCACAAATCCATCCCCTCTTTCCATCCCCAAATCTCAGTACCTAGATTTCGGATGGATTTCAGGTTCATGCTAGCTGACCATGGGGGTGGAGACATTCAGCCCATGGCTGGCCAGAGGGCTTGTGCCAGTGGCACCATGAAGTCCCCCTCCCTGGGGACTAACAACTGCTGCTGTGAAGCGATGTCCAGACTGGAAAGTGCCCTTCTCCCTGCTCCCACCTGCCAGGATGCAGGAAGGGGGGGAAGCAACAGCTGCCACCCCAAGGGCACTTCCCAGGAGTTAAGGGGTTTCCCCAGGGAGGGGCTGGATCTGGGACTGACCCAGTTCTTGGGGCTAGTGGCCCAGGGTGACTCCCAGCCCCATTGGTCCCGCTAGTCAGGTTTTGTGGGGATCCAATGATGCACAACAGGTCTGTGCATGGAGCTGGCAAGCAGTATGGGGAGCCAGGCACCCCTTTTTCAGCTCACTCCCAGGTCTTATCATTTAATTGTATGGACATACCCAATGCATTTGATGGTCTCTGAGAAACGTTAGAAGAGCATCGCTGAGCGCTGAGAATTAAGCTGAGAACTGGCCCACGGAGAAGCAGTCACTCAGTTTGCCCCGCAGTTTCTTCCCTGTTTTAGGCTTTGTCAGGAGTCCCTGGAAATCAGTGGGAAAACTCCTGTCAACTGCCACAGGCTTTGTATCCAGATTGCTGTATGTCTCTGCAAGCATTGCTCGTTGTGATATTTCTGTTTTTCTCAAAGGTTCTTTTTCTTTGCAGTGTGATGTCTTGGATCAGAATTTGTTAAATTTCCTCCCAGAACAAGAACATTCAGAAATTTATAAGATGTTATCTTCTTGTATGCTTATGACGGATTCTGCCTCATCGGATTACCTAAAAAGTAAGTTTTATTTTATCTTCCCCAGTAAATGAAAAAGCATGGGCAGGATAAAAATTTTCTCTCAGAAAGAGTTTTTTATGTGATGTGCAATATAAAACTTAGGTTCATAGCCTTTTAAAAAGATCTTACCACCTGGAATGACCCTTTGGTTCTATTTCTAAATGAAACGCATTGCCTTTATTTTACTAGGCTAAGACTACTTGCAGTTATGTTAATTATTAAATATCGTATCTTTTGAGACAGCTAAAGAAAATAGGTTAGCCGATGGAAACAGAGAGTTCGCCTGAGACAAATCACATCTTAATTGATATTTCAGCCTGTTCAAGTAAGACGCTGTTCAGAGATATGCTAATGTCGCATACCTTTGGTTTGCATTATAGTTGAAAAGTATCTGTAAAATCATTGTAATTCTTTTTCAAATTGAATTTTGTTTTTCTTAAAAACACTTGTACTTGCCTCATCCTTATTCACTCTAGGAGGTAAGATGTAGGAAACCAGAAAACACACGATAATATGTAAGACGTACAGCTGCTTAATCTACTGTATATACAAAAGCTGCAGCTGATAGCTAATATGCCAAAGTAAATTTAATAGATATTTTGAGGTAATTAGGCGTAGTTTTCCAACACAAGATGTAGAACAGCTGCGTCGTGAAAAGCCCAAATAGAAAAAAAGCTATAAATGAAGGATCCAATTCTCTCCTTCGCTACACCGATGCTATGGCAGCGTAACTGCCGTGACAAAGGTGGTGTAAGGGAAGGGCAAGTTAGTCTCGAAGGCCGTCCCCGAGCTGCAGGCAGACCTGTGCACAGCGCTGAACAACCTGCATCCCTGCAAGGAGCTTCCTTCCAGGGGCTCTGATCCACGTGCAATGTATAGCACATCAGTGTATAGGACTCTGAGTGGTAACAAGCTGCTCTCGTGCTGCCAGTTGCAAGATTGGGGTTGGAAGACACCGTTGGTTGTGTTTAGCTCAAACAGTATATTTATTTCTTCTTCTTCTTCTTTTAACAATCCAGCTGACAATGAACTAGAGTTTTATTGCCATCTTCTGAGAGGAAGTTTGAACCCAAAGGAATTTCCAACATATGAATACATAAAATTTGTAGGAAATTTTCGGTCTTACAGCAATGGTAAGCTTTAATTGTTGTATAAATGTTACTTTAGCTGTGTAAAATAAAATATAAGTATTGTTCCATTGAACAAGACAGCTTTTAACTGAAAGGACTATTTTTAACATTATGGGGTAAAGTTTGCTTCACACGGATCTCACAGCTGATTTGCAAGAGCTGGGTGAATACCTATGAAGAGTGAAATTGTGTTAGTTGCTTTTGTTACTGCTCTTCACTTGTTAGCAGTGATCCTGAACTCTGGGTAAGTTTGCAAATAATGACAGGTTCAGAGGAGGGTTGGTTTGTGCTCACTAATACTGTGTGCTAAGACTCTACCTATTAGCTAAATAATAAGCTTGCTACCTTATCTGCTGGCTCACATTAAACACAAATTCTGTGCCAGAACTGATAATCTGCCAAATCTGCCCTCTCAACCTTCTCTGCAAAATTTTGGGGAAAGGCAGCAGCATCACATAACTGAGAGCCTGCGCCCACCGCCCCTCGCTGCCGTGAGGGGTCCCCTGCCGCTGGCATCAGCGTGGCTGAGGACACTTCTACTCGCCTCCCTCTCCAGCTGCCATTTACATTCCTCTCGAGCACTGCAGAACCCAATACTCTCCAAAACAAAAAAAAAAAAAAAGAAAGAAATACAGTCAGCATAGTTGCTAATGCACCACAGTCAATCTAGGGAAACCATCTTTCAAGGGATGAAGAGCAGACTTCTACCTCACCCATTCCCTAACAAACAGATTGCTGCACGGCCATTAGTGTCAGAAATGAAATACTCTTTTATTACTTTCCTTTCTTCTGCCTGCCCAAGTTTGCTTTAGTTACTTGCCTGATTGAACTCCAGAGTGGCATTTCCAAAGTTGCTGGTATTGTTCCAAATAGGTCATCCTCAGCAAAAAAATTCCCCACCGTGCTTTCCAAAAACTGCATGCCACACTGTGAAAAAAAATGTCCCTGTCCCCATTTAACTTTCTGCTCTTGCTCCACATGACTAGAATAGAAACCTACATGCAGGATGGAGATACGTATTCCTTGTTTGGTGCCATCTGATTTGAGGCTTTATTTGTATTAAAAAATGTAACTGCCTGTATGCTTTCTAGTTTGAATGAAGTGAAATGCGGCTGCCTGACAGACGCACAGACCAAGCTGTTCTGTTTTCTAGAGCAGAAACCGGATTTCAGGTGCTGACTCATAAGGATACATTTCTACCAGGGGAATTTCTGATCCATTTTCTTCAAGGATTTTCAGCCTTTTATTTTTTGGCATAACCTTAATATTGCCCTCTTACCCGTTAGGATTTCATATCCCAGCATTTGTATCAGTGGCTATTTCTCAGAGGAAAGATAAAACTTGCATTACAGATATCTTCCCTAGCGTAATGCATATAAACTAAATGGGAACATATTGATTTCAGAAGATACCAAATAATTTTCCAAAGACCCTAGCTTATAGCTTTCAAATAAGACATGTGCTTTCTGCTTCAATTTTTTAATCTTTTTTTTCCTTTGTGCCACCTTTTTTTAAATCTTCCACTTTCTTTTGTCTCTTCCACTTTCTTCCCATCTCTGCTGCAGTCTGACCCTCTGATCGATAGGGAGGGGACGGCCCTTGCCCCCGCTCTGTGAGATGGTGCCTCTTGGCCCCCTTCCCACCTCCCCATCGCAGAACGGTAGCTTGCTCATCCTGACTTTAGTTTCCCCAGTTCAGTACGGAGCTTGGCTGAAATACTTGCTTCACCAGTGCATCCCCAGCACTGCTCCCCCTTGGCTGGGGGTCACTCCCATGGCCCCCTCTGCCACCCCTCACCACCCTGGCTCCTTATCCAGCCACAAAACCACCTCCCGGCAAAGGTGGAAGCAAGTGCACTGGACTCATGGTATAGAAGCAGCAAACTGTTTGCTTGGGAGCTGATAACCTTGGGTCAAGGACAGAGCGAGCAGCCGGAGGAGGGTGCAAACCTCCGAAGCGGCTGTTGTCAGTTCCACCGGGTTTCTTGCGTCAGCCGGCTGCACCCTGAGCAAGGCATGGGGGACATCAGCTCAAGCGAGCACCGTATGAATGCAGCTGCCCTCTGGGCAGCTTTCCAGCCCCGGGTCTGGGGGCAAACAGCTGTGCTTTGGCATGGGGATTTGCGACACGGACACCTTTGAGCATCTGATGGGCGCAGAGGTGGGCTGGGTTCTTGCCTCTGCTTGGCCCCCCACATCCCAGGATGCCCCATTATCTGGCACCGTCCCCACTCCCCACACCCCCCAGGGCTGTCACCTACCAGACCTGCCAGTAATTGCTCTCTTCTTCCTCCTGTTAAATAAATACCTGCTCTCCAGCTTAGCCCCCCAAGGGGGGGCCAAGGGGGCAAGAAAGACAGGGGTGGGAAGGGTGGTGAGGAAGAGAAGTATCACTCAGGGGCAGTGCTCGTCCTACATGCGTAGGATCGGCTGGCCCCAAATCCTGCTTTTTGGAGGTGTTTGTGAAGGAAGGAGGCTAAGCTAAAGCTAAGAAAAGAGTTAGCTGGAGGAGAAAGACAGAAATTGCAAATTAAGCTTAATTAGCAGGAGATGTTCCTTATGAATGTATTCGGGAATGCTTTTCCCTGTAGCTTTTCACAGCAGTGGAAGTGTGAGCATGTTTTTACACAGGGAAGACCGATACAGGATGTTCTCGAAATACAAATCTCTGCTGTTCCTTTTTAGCCACCCAAAGCCAAATCCTACCTTTGTTTCCAACGGTTTGCCGAGCATACTCTGAGCCCACCCTGCCTGCGCGTTCCTGCTGCGGGGATACCAGAGCCTCTGTGGCCAGGGAAGCACTTTTATCCCTGAGCAGGCTGTATCCCATCAGGAAACTTAATTATTCCATTCTCATTAATGTAGGGTCATGGCAGGGACAGTCCTAACAAATCTTGCACCCTTCCTTCTCACTTAACCTTTGCTAATGTTTTGAAGAACTGGTAGGTCCTTTTTTGCCCTCTTTAACAGAAATGTCACTAGCTTTATTCTACTCCCACATAACCTTTTACGTAACCTCCTTTGAATTATCATCTTCTCAGGCTCATTTTTTTATTGCTCATTGCTTATATAATGGTGGTGCTTGGGGGAAGGGGGTCATGCGTGCTGGGGTCCCAGTCATCTTGCCCCCCTCCCTCCTCCCTTGTACCTTCTCTGTTAATCGCATTGTGATTTATGGCCGAGAACATCATATAGGGATGCGTTTGAATGGATTAATCTGAAGGATTGAAGCTTAGCAAGCCAGTTAGGGACTTAGCTGCTCTCCCTAACTTTAGTGGGAGCTCTGGGGCTTTAGAGGCCATTGTACTGAGATGCCAAAAAGAATTTTTTTGCTAAAGTAGAACAAATACCTGTTATCTACCAGGGTGACCTGCCACCAGGATTGCTGTCAGGGAGCCAGATCATGCACAACCTACATTGAACCCATGCTACTCCCCCAGAGGAGCAGTCCCTGGCATCTTCCCCCATCCCAGAAAGGGCAGGGGGATGCATGTGAAGCCCCGAGAAATTGCCTGGGAAAGTTCACATAAATCATGGCATGTGTTCAGTCTTTCAGAAGATCATGGTCCCTAGAGCTCCTGGGCTGAGCTATAGCTGGAGGACGGAGGAGCTGCACAGCCCAGTGCCAGGGTTAGCAGGAGGGTCCACTCTTGGGATTGTCCCAGGGATGGTGTGCAGGAAGCTGTACTCTGTAATGCCTGCTGCAAGGACATTTCTGCAGCTGTATCTACACCAGGGATGTGACACGAGCCGCCTGCACATGAGTGAACCCCCCTCGAATTAGCTGTGCCCAAGCGAGAGCGGCCGACCAGCAAAACAGCAAAGCGAGCTGTGCGGAGTGATGCATGACTCACTGGCTGTGCTAAATCAAATACAAGAGATTTGATTTTCCATTTGGGAGGATTATATAATCATCATTAATTAAGCTTCAATGAGAAAAGCAGGACTGTAACCTGACGTGAAGACTCAGTAGTCCCTTGAGAGGAGGGGAGGTGGCCCATGGGCCACTCAGAAGAGGACGGTGGAGTTCCCTCTTTGCTTCTGTGAGAAATGCCCACTTGCTCTCAGAGAATAAGGGAGGGGGGGTTATTTGCAAATAGGAACTCTTTCCAATATTTTTATATATTTCAGGTTCTGGTCCTGTAGTCCAGATTTTAACAAGAGAGATGAATAAATACAAACATCTGAGGGAGCTGAGTGCCATCACTGTACCCGTTGACCAGTAGTACCTGATAAGGGATAGGGTCATGTCAGCATCACCAATGAATAATGCAGTGGCTCCCATCCAGTTTTGCCTGAGGACTGAGGGAGAAGGCAAGTAATAAAGATAACCCTCCAAAGAAATGATCAGCTCCCAGTATAAAATGTCAAATTAAGTGAGAATAAATTATTTTACAAAGCTGCCTAATAGCTTACTCTGATAAGAAAAGATAAAGCGGGCTGGATTTATCCCTCCTGTGAAAATTGTTTGTACGTTTGCAAAGAGAAAAAGATCTCTCATAATCATATAACCAAATATTGGCTTTGGTATCCTATTTCTGAGCTGACATACTTGCTTAAAAACTCCTGAAAGGGACAAAGCCAGTCCTGCTTTTCAAAGTGTTCACCAATATCAAAAAGGACCACCAGCGTATTTGAAGTGGCAGATCTGTCCTTTCATTCAAAATGCCTGAAGTTTTCCTCTTGAAGGAGGAGATAACTGGTACGTGAAAAGAGTTCCCGATCAAGTAATATAATTAAATATTATAGTGGAATTTAAAATTGTGCATTTTTGTTCCCAATTACATGGAAACTCAAGAAGTGTCTGGTTACTGGATGCTAATAATAGCAGATACTCTACTGTTAGATGATATATTTCTCAGAGATAAGAATAATCATCAAGAAAACTATTATGCTGAGAAGAAAAAAAAATCTTTTCACTCCCAGAACAATTAATTCAATCTGAATTCCTTTTTAAAAGCAATAAACAGATTTACACAGAAGATGCATTGATCTTGAGCCTCCATAAGTGTATGCAGAAACAGCTGATAACAAGGATAACTCAAACTGAAATGAATGTTTTGATCAGAACCAACAGCCACATGTTATTATTTGCTATTAACAATATCGTAGAAGCTGCAGCTAGCAATCTGCAGTGCTTATGCTGAGTTCTCTATGGGTTCTTAAGAAAAAAGGGACCATTTCTGTCCTAAAGAATTTACTTGGGGTTCGTATCAACACAGGATGGTGAGGAGAGAAACAGGAGGAGGACAGAGGAGAGAGTAGATCAAAGCAGACAAGTGATGTATGGACACCATCACAGTTACTCATCCGAAGCTACTAAGTGTGGTCTGGCTTGCCACTCGCACTTTAGATTTCTTCATTATAGATACTAATTGCTGAATATTCTGTATATCTGTGGTCTGAATTTATTTATATGAAACAATCTTGATTTTATTGTGGTCTGTTTGGCTTGTGTTTTTTGAAATCTCTGTTCAGTTTGTTTGATAGTCACTAAGACTGGTTCTTTAAACATTAACATCTACTGACAAAAGAGGAAGGAGGGATTTCTTCTTTCAAACGGCATAAATGAGAGGTTTGCTGTTATAGGAAGAATACGTTTTAAACATCCTAAGTTAAAATAAGATGACCGAGCAACTGACTGCTGTACTATTATTAACTAATGTGGCATCTGGGGTTTTTTAAACATGTTTTCATTCATTTCATGTGGCATGATTTGTATCCCTAAAGATAAAAATCTTTTTATCTATGGTAGTTAAGGGTTTGGTTCCTTATATTACTTGGTTCCTATATATTGCTTATTTTTAATGTCTTGTCCTTAGCGTCCTGATCTTTTTTTAAAAAACCAAAACCAAACAAAAACAACAACCAAACTTGTATATAGGCAAATCAGTTTCTTTCTATCTTCTTATATGATATTTGCAGGTAATTTAATACTCCTACAAAAGAATTTTGTGGTAGCTCTAGGAGCAGCAGGTCTGATAGATAACTGCAAAAACTGTTAAAATTCATGCTAAGGAGCAACAGCTAACTGATATATATAAGACAGCTGTTTCACCTTTCTGATAATGTAATTAGCTTTGTCACATGACCTTCTAATTCCCTACTCAAGATATTTTGTCTCGATCATTTAATTGTGAAACACACACACCCTCATTTACCCAAGCCCACCTGTTTATATCCAGCTTAACATTTTCATCAGGCTCCATCTGACAAAACACTCCAAGACCTGTATTTGACTCATAAATGTTAATATCATCATAGCCTTAGACTTCATCCTGTATTTTCCATTCCACTGTTTTTCTGTGGTGCTCTCAGAAAGTCCGCTACTGAACTTTGCTACTTCAAGATGTTGTATGTTTCTTTTAAAGAGACTTGGAGAATTATAAAGTATGATTTTTCAGAAGGCATGCTTAAAAGATTATACCAGGATTTATTTTCTTTTTAATTCATGTAATGATCTCTTTTTTTAGCTACACTTTAAAATTTATCAACAAAAAAAGCTGAAATTTGCTGACCAGCTAGAAGAGCAGAGCAAAACAGGCTGTGCGGATAGAGCTGTGGAAAGAACAGATACCAACAAAATAAGACAGGCAGCCAAGTAATGCAGAAACAAATCGGGGTGAGGGGATCTTTCAGTTGTTGTAGTTGTTATTTTCAGATGGAGATGTACATTGCAAGGTGGTGGCTACCTGCCTGCATCACTGAGGCTTTTAATGCTCTGGACTTTATCAAAGGCAGCTGAGTACGGAGATGGCACAGGTTTGCTGTTTGAAGACAGGATGACTTTCAGCCAGGCCAGCTCTGTCTCATCTCCTTGGGCTTATTCATTCACTGCCGCTTAAGTTCAACATTCCCAAATGTTGTGATGAAATCCCAAATTTACTACATAGCTATCCTATACGATAATTTTTACCCTTTTAGTATTGCATTTACCTCTTGGAAATATAATCCTATTTTGTAAATGCCACATTCAGGGATATATTCTGCTTTTTTCTGGGAATAGGTCTCAGGTTATGGCTGTTTACATCAAACAGCTGAAGTAAAAAAGCCATCTGCTCTCTTTGGTGTGACTCGGTCTCCACTTTCTTCTGCAACTGGTGTCATTTGCAAGCCCATGGGTTCACTAACTAGGTTAACTTACCATACCTGTACTTCAGAGGCTGAATGTGCGTATCTTATTTTCATATCTTAGAGCCCAGCCTGCAAACATTTGCTACTGAACTTGGCTATTACAGAGAGAAACAGCCCCATTGACTTCAAATGTGACAACATATTACGTAGTAAGCTTGAAAGGAATTTTTTACAATGCCCGTAATGTGGGTTTATAGCAATCCCATTCATTTTTAAACAGGACTGACTACAGAAATCAACAGACTTGCACAAAATAGTAATACTGGAGATGAACTAATAACTCTTTACTCAGGCTTCTCCTGTTTCCTGTAGATCCTAACTCTTTCTTCTTTTTTTCCACCTCGTGTATTAAAAATCCCATAGAAGCCCTCATATATGCACATAACCCCAGGAGCAGAACGGGAATACATATTCCGAGGAAGTCCCCAGAGCAAGTGTGCTTTGCTGGTGAAAGGAGGAGAATTTTGCCCATATTTTTTATCTCAATATCCAGTCAGCCATGCCCTCCAGACTCAACTGCAAGAGAGGGCTGTAATCTCTGTGGATGTTCACATCTGTGCTGCTTTCTCAGATGAGGAATCTTTCTTCCCCTTTTTGGTGCAATATATATCGTGCAGACAGTGGCCTAAACCAGTTAACCACAGGTGTGAATTCTCCTCAGAGTACTTATTTTTCTGTCTCATACTCTGTTATCCTTGTTATCAGCTATGTATCGTTATTCTAAGGCTTTTAATAGGTTGAACTGGGTTCCAAAAGCACATGTGGTAAATTAAGACTTCTTCCATCTCTACAATGTATGCTAGTGAACTAAAGTCCAGTGTAGAAGCACCCCAGAATAAAAATTACTAGTTATCTCTTCCCCAGATAGATACATTCATTTTCACAGGAATGGACATGCTTATCCTTGCTTTGTCCTGTGCAGAAGAGACAAACTGTAGGGAACTTCATAAAGCTGGATACAGGGACCTTATAGAAAGGAAAGATTCACATTAGCATTAATCCCTATTAGCATTAGATTAACTCATATTGGTGAACTCTGGCTGCTAGATGGGACCTTCTCTGCCCCCACGGGAGACAGTCGGCTGGGCATGGCAAGAGCCCACGGGCCCAGCCCAGTTCCCACTGCAGCTTAGCACACAGGTTTTTTTCACTACTGTGGGAGCAGCATTACCATCTCTAAACAGCTCGAATTTGGATGAAGAGTTTGCATTATGTCATTCTAACGTGGCACTGTGGGCTAGCTTAAGGCAACACGTTCTTTTGGCAACTCCTCTCTGTGGCAGGAGGTGCTAGTGGGCTCTCAAAGCAACACAAAAGCTATGCAATCACGGAAGACACAGATGAAAAACCATACACAAAATCTGTAGCCGCATCACATCCAGTTTTTCCTTCTGCCCAGTGTTTCGGGAGACAGCAGGCCATCTGCAGACTCACAAGAAATGCACAGCTCTGGAAGCCAGTGCCGTACACGGGGTCCTCTTTACTCTTCTTTAAAACAAGGAGAACTTGAGCACGCTGGGGATGGTTCTCCTTAGACGCAGAAGGGGAAGGCACACTTCAGCAGTCGAGAATCACAAGCAGCCTCTTGCTAGCTTGATGAAGCCTCGCTGGCTGTGGGCCCCGGTGTTTTGCCACTGATGACTTGACGAACTCTCTTCAGCTACCTCCCTTGCCAACACTTCTTTTCACTGCCTCATGGAAGTTAGGGTGCTAGGCATGCTGCAGCATAGATTTTTTTTCTTGTGAGTGATGAAAAAGAGCAATTGGATGCGTGGGGTTTCTTTCCAGAAAGCTGGTTTATGCTCTGTAATAAGGTTTGGCCTTATTTTTATCAGGATTAACCTGTAAGATTCATACTTGAATTTAAGCTCTGATGTCTTTCTGCCTAAGATGACTGACTTGGATTTAAATGTATGCATATCAGCTTTAAAGCTTTTAGAGCACTTCTCTGAATAAAATTCGTATTAGTACACTTCAAGTGTGCAAAATATTCAGGGAGAGCAAATGTCGAACGAGGCATGACTCTAGGTCCTGGTTTTTTCCCTACCTAGTGCCTAACTCCACTTGCAATGGCTTTGACGAGGCTGTCCCAAGGGCTTACAGAACACCCCCGGGAAAGCAGATCTGCTTCGTTGCGACTGTTCGTTTGGCGACACCTCAGTTTTTAAAGGTGAGTGCGTACCCTGGGTCCATTCATTTCAGAATTTCTCAAAACAATTTCAGATGGGATGACACGCAAAGTTCTTAGTTTTGCTAATTGAATGGATTACAGATTTCACATTTCATGCATAAAAATCCAGTGAAGAGGATTATCAGTACGAGCCAGGATCTGCAGAAGTGGTGTTACTTCTGCCCCCCTTGCATGGGAAATGGAAACCCTCCTTGCATTAGGAATTGCAAAGTCACTTTAAGATTGCATTCTTCATCGCTGCTTTCTGTTCCTGTGATGGGACAGTGTACAGGTGGCCACCAATGCTTTCATTTGTGCCCCTCGGTGTCTTCAGGTGACTGTCGCTAGTTTCCCTCCTCCCAAATCCTGGTAGTAAGATAGCTGCTTGGGGAAATAAGGATAGACCACCCAACCTCGTGCCTGGCACTGCAGTTCCCTAATTAAAAAATGTGAGCTATTGCATCAGGTGTCCCATCCTCAGAGGTTAAGAGATTTTTAATCTAATTGAGACGTAGCTGGTATGAAATCACTGCGCCCTTGGCCTGGCTCCATCACTGCTCTGGGACTGGCAGGGCACTCTCTACTGATTCATGGCCCCGGCAGGCAAGTAGAGTCCCTTCTGGGTAAGTGACGACACTTCCCATAAATCTTAACCACAGTAACCATATTAGCAGTAAGGGCTGGATTTAAGGTTCTCCGTGAACCCTGAAAGCAAATTCCCTTGACTTTGGGCAGCTAACATCTCAAAATAAATAGGGAAATGAAATGGGCTTCACGTGGCAATGAGCTGCCCAGTGCTAGGGAGGAAGCAGCTGCTGAACAACGTAGAGAAGGTGTTAGCTGCCACAAAATCCTAGACACCAATCTCTTCAGTTCACCTGGGTGACTCACTTAACCCCTGCTCTTGACTTCCTCCTCTAAAATGAAGGCAAAAATATTTATCTGACTGGCTAAGGAAGGCAGACTCAGCATTTTGGTTACACACAGCAATGTTTGCATGTCACATCTTGAATTTTAGGGTATGTTCTTGGCATCAGCATGGATTTTGGCACAATCTGGAGAGGGGGGTAGAGAGGAATTTAAGGTATGCATGAAGCCTTTTGCCTCTGTACAGCCAGCAACTTTAATCAACTTGGTGAGCATCAATATGCATCAAAGAAATGCTTGATGGCAGTGTGCATCAGCTGGTCCCAAGAGGGTTTAAATGGTCTGAAAGACTTCTCTCCCCAAGAGGAACAGCAGAGAGAGAAGTGGCAGTGGAGATGATGGGAGATGTCGCTGAGCCCACGGCACAGGGGGACGAGGCACCAGGGAGCAGGGGGACAGCAGCACTGGGGGCTAGTGGGCAGGCTGTCCTTGTCAGTGACGATGGAGACCCTCCTGCAGGACAGACATGGGGACACGGTAACTCTGGATGCCACCAAATCCTGAGCGCTGATGCTGGCAAGTCCCAGGCCAGGAGTCTCCAGACTGACTCTAGGCAGCTGGTGGAGCTGGAGTTGCCCCTGCAAACTGCCAGTGGGACAGGAGAGGTCAGCAGAGGGGACCAGCAAGCGGGCTGGGAGCCAGCCGTGGGGCACACAGCCAGCCCCAGCCCATGCACAGGCGCACACCACAGTGCCATCCTTCGTCCCCTTCCCACCTCCACCCAACAACTGATCACCACCGACTGCCTCCTGGTCCTCATCCCTCTGGGGCAAGGATGTCCTGCCTCACAGACAGCCCTGTGCCCTGCCTCCTGTAAATCACTTATTAATTATCATTCTCACGAGAGCTGAGGGCTGTGGTGAGTCTTACGGGCCAGCTTCTTCACTGCAGGAGTGAAGTGCAAGGCAAAACCACTGCCTTTCACCCACCTGACAGGCCCCATGCAGGCAGCCTGCCTGAAAAGGTATTTACTCCTCCACAGCTATTGAGTGGGAAGAAGAATGTCCCCCTTTCTCAAAGCGGGCTCGGAGGGCAGACGACCAAAAGGGCTGGGCAAGGGTGGTGGCTATCTTCAGTAACACAAAGAGAGCAAGGAGAGACATGGCAAACCCAGGTGGGACCAAGCACAGGCTGGATGCTGGGAAGGAGCATTGCTCCTCGGGGCTGTGGGCAGCCCAGCCATCACACCCCGGGCACTGCTTCAAAACCATAAAAACTTTGGCATCCTGAGGAACAGTGTCAGCTCTTAAGTCTATGTGCATCACAAGTTCTTCTGCTCAACTCCTGCAAAAATGTTGGCATTGATAAATACAATAGATCGCTCTCTGGAAGTGCCAGAAAAATGTGTGAATCCTCTGTTTTTTCCCCTTATGCACCATGTATTTATAGCTAACAAAAGCTAAATGAAGCAGAGGGGTGAAGCTGCAACGCTCAGTAAGTCGGTTTTCTTCACCGTACAGGAGATGTGCATCGTGGAAGAACCTCTAGAGGAATTCACATCAAGACACAGTCTGGAGTGGAAATTTTTATTCCTGGATCACAGGTTGGTGACAAGAAAGGCACTCCTGGTTGTGTTCGGTGCTTGACTACTGCTATTTTTGTAAGTGCAATTCTCTCAAATAGTGTTCCGTTTCACATCTAAATCAAATGAACAGAACGGTTGCCACTGAAATTACTACAAAAGCTGATGTTTACTGTTTTACATTTATTTTTGATTTATTTTTATCAGTCTTTTAAAACAAAACTACTCTGTTTCTCAGGCCAAATTTGTGATTAGCTTGTTCTTGTTTCCTTTAAAAATATCAGCGGACCAAAGTCTGTCACATGGCAAAATGATCTAATTATTATACAGCTGCAGAAATCATTCTTTCCAAATCCAGCCATTGATTGCGTGTGTGCAATTCCCACCGAGTTACAGAGGGAAAGTCTGTGCTGGCCTGAGGCAACCGTGCTGGCAAATGTACAAAGCAACTGCCTCAGCACGCCACGGACGGGCTCTGCAGGCACCCAGGGGGAAGCAGCACAGATGATCTCCCCTCCTACCCCCTAGTCCCGGCAGACGATGACTTCCTATCACCTTGCCACACATTTTCCCCTGTGCAGGGACTGCGGGAGCCGCAGCAGAGCCCCTGACCAAGGAACAACCGGGGAACGGCTCCCTCACAGCAGGTTCCTGTGTGAAGGTCCCTGAGAAGCTGAGTTGCTTTCCACAACCACATTTTCTCTGGAAAGATGGGGTTGTCACAACCTTGTCCTGGGGGGACAGCGCCTGCCGGCATGACTGTGCCCAGCTGGGCATCCCAGGCACAAGGTGGGAGATAGTCAGGATCTGGTCCCTGGGGTGGACAACTGTACAGCGACAAGCAAGAGCAGATCTGGGCTTTTTCCATATCCATGTCAACATGCAGAACTGTTTGGTTTGTGGTTTATGAATTCACTTATATTGTGCCTAACTGTAGGGCACCGCCGATTATAGGATACTTGCCTTTTGAAGTGCTGGGTACTTCTGGCTACGACTATTACCATATAGATGACCTAGAGCTGCTAGCAAGGTGCCACGAACACTGTAAGTATCGCATGGCCCATTCCTGTGGAGTCACTGGCACACCTTTTTGCAGTGAAATGTAGTTTCAGTTAAAATTGATTTAAACTTAGAAGGGGAGGTTTGACCCTTGCCTCATGCCTGTAGGTCTTAGTAGAGCTGTAGCAGATCAGGGGCACCGCAACTGATCAGCATCTGGGCCAGACTAATCAAGCTTTGAAAAATACAATTTTACCTTCTATATCCCCCAAAATAGTCAACAAGACTCATTGAATGGATAAAATATGCGAGATTAGACCCCCCAGGAATAGTTCAAGCAATCTCAGAGGAGATCCTATTTTGTAAAATTCTTGCAGATTATTTACCCTAATGTTGTTCACCATGTATTTGGGATTACCCGTGATTACTTAAATATAATCTATTAAGATTTAATTGAAAATCTCTTTCACTAAGTAAAGAAAATGAGGCAATGCTTCACAAATCTTTGCTTACAGAATTGGCTGAAACATCTCCGCTTACCACTTCTGGGTGTCCTGAAAATATCGCATCAACTTTAGTTTTTATATGTTGGCATTAAAATATAGAAAGACTAAATATGTGCATTTTTGGGAACCCTGTGAAATCACTGAGGAAAAAAAAGCAGAGATTAATTTTGTTGGTGAATCTTTAGAACCTTCAATTCACTCCAGTTTACTGCAGTTTGAATTCTTGTCAGTCTGGGAATTTTCTTTCAATTTCAAATGATTTTTGTCTTTGCACAATGTTATCTCTCAGACTCGCTTCATTCTGAATCCATCTGCACACAATACTCATCTTTTCAAGCATTTTTATCCTGTACTTTTCTGTTACGGAATTTATGATCACTCTTAGAAATTAATCCCAGATGCCTAATTAAGCAGTATGTGATCAGCACATAAACCAGGGTAAGATCTATGTTTAAATTGTAGCAGACACTAATGCATTAGTGTCCAAAGTTAAGGTTAATTGTACTGTGTAAGAATGTACCTTTCCAAGTGTCAGAAGAAGATACCTACTGATCTTTATGATTTTTGCTCTATCATAAGACTGACAGGACCACTCACTTGAAAGGTGCTCAGACTCCTGTCTCCCTTGGGAATCACCAATATTTTTGTCACTCTTTTCACATTTCGTGTCATTTTCACATCAGAAATTGTGCTATAAGCTGTGTGTATTTTCTGTTGACAGTGATGCAGTTTGGCAAGGGGAAGTCGTGCTGCTATCGGTTCCTGACCAAAGGACAGCAGTGGATCTGGCTCCAGACCCATTACTATATCACCTACCACCAGTGGAACTCCAAGCCAGAGTTCATTGTGTGCACACACATGGTGGTAAGGTATGGAAAATCATATTAACCAGTGGGGAAATAAAGGACAGTAAGATGAGGGCATCCTCATGACTGCCAACATTTTCTCTTAAAAATATAATATCTTTTACATAACAAAAATTTAAGCCTGAACTCTCTGAAGGAAACACGTTCATTATAGAAAAATGATCAGACTGAACCTTACTTTATGCTAAGCTTGATTTGTCAACCATGAGTTTAAGGACAAATTAACTGTTGCATTTTTCCATTTTGTGCAAAAATAGATAATAGGCAGATCCCTTAACTATTCACTTCCCCTAATCCTTACATTGTTTTTAAAGAGATGTGTGGAAGCTTTCCAATGAAGTCATAAAGCGGTTGTAGAATGTGAATTTGACCTTTATATATACTTATAATATGTAAGTAAATATATATATATAAAATACTTTAATATACTTCTTAACTTCAAGAAGATAGGAACAGAGCAAAAACTGAATATTAAAACAGTCTCTCAAATGTTATTCAGTAGCATTTGACTTAAGTGATTTTTCAGCTGTTCATTTAACCTGTAAAATGTTGCAATATTTTGTTCCTCCACTTGCTTAAAGTACCTTTTATGAAATATAACAATACCATGCTGATACGTAGATGTATATTTTCCATTCAGTTATGCAGATGTTCGGGTGGAGAGGAGACAGGAGATGGGCTTGGAAGAAGTGTCCTCAGAGGTTGTGTCCTCAGCACTAAAGGTACAATGAGAAAAGCTTTTTTCATGAATATATGTAGTAATCACAACTTTTTCCTATGTTAACGTCACTGAAGACTCCAGCATTGTCTTTCTGAGTGTCTTCCCTCAACTTCAGAATTCATTGCTCACTTGAATAATTTTAACGTAAATTGGATAAGTTCGTGAAAGGATAAACCTGGAGATCAGTAACAGCCACAAATTAAGTGGAACATGGGCAGGGGCAACCTGAGATATCTCCACCTTTCCTTGGCAAGGTACTACAGTTTAAAGATTCATTTGGACTTGTTCTGGCAATCAGCCTTCTTCGCTACATCTCGGTGATCTGCTGAGGGAAGAAAGAAAAGCTCCTCCTCAGTACATGGCTGAGTGTCTCACAGAGGTTGCAGTTGCTGTCACATCCAACTGAATGCAAAAGAAAGAATCAGAAAAACATCTGAAGGCACGAAATTACTATGGCAGTAGCTTGCTAGCTATTTCCAACTCAGTGACAGCTCTTTGTAAAATGCAGTAGTTAGATGTTATTTGGAAGGGACATTGACACCTGTGCCCAGGTCTTCTGCTGACCTACCTGGGATTAGTTCTGCTCAAGTCTTTTTTAGGCCAGCCAAAGAACTGGGTGTGCAACCATTACTAGATGCATCTCAAAATGATTTTACTCTGACAGATGCAATAGCTATTCCCTTTTTTTTGGTTTGTTTTAGGACAGTGGCACCAGCTTGGATCCTGAACAGCACTTTAATGCACTTGATATTGGTGCCTCAATCCTCAGCGCTAGTCGGACACCCTCAGTATCATCCAGGAGCTCACCAAAATCTTCCCACACACCCAAGTCGGACCCAGCA